CTCCAATCATTGGACGAGGACCACCACTCGGACCAACTTCCGCCACGCTCGGACCACTTTCCATCCCGCTCAGACTGAGACTGAGACATGGCAAAATAATGGGCTAATGGCTTACTTCAGACATGCTTCAAACTCGGACATACTTCAAACTTGACTTCATCGTGCTACTGGCACTCTGTCATGGCTGTGGTGTGCATGGGTTCTGCTGGCAGTGGCCTTGAGCCCTGACTTTCGACTAGGAGGTTTCCAACTGCAAACACAAGCACGCCAATGACAACTGTGTGCTGAACTGGGCTTGGCACATCCTCGGGCCAGAAGGCTCGATCGCTGTGGCCAGCATGGACCTGGGTTGATAGAAATAACATCTCGGGTTGGAGCCTACGTCTCGGGAACTCAATGTCAAGGCACTCAGACAGTCATTCCTACTTTCCTCAAACTCCGAATGCCCGGGTTTAGGGTTTAGGGTTTAGGGTTTCGGGTTTAGGCTCGGTCTCGGGCTCCCGCGGATGCCTCGGGCAAGCTGAGGCCCCGGGCGAACTCGTAGCACTAAATTTTTAAACCACATGGCACGTGGCACATGACATCCAAGGCCCTCGGACTCGGGCCCTGAATGAGCATGAACCTTTTTGTGATGCTGTGACAAACAGTGCACTTGGGCACTGTCTGAGCACAGCATCGGCTTGGAGCTGTGACGAACACGCCCAAAACTCGGGCATGTTCGAGCACAGCTCCCCCACCTCGGACTCGGCCAGCGAAGTCGCCGTTGTCGAAAGCTCAGGGGGTTTGCTGGGGTTTCGGGCTTACTCGGGCTTAAACTTAATATCGGGCTTAGAGTCTCGGGCTTAAAGGTCCGGGTTTAGGGTACAGGGTCCCTGTGGGCTTATTAGGGGTTGGGGGTTGAAGTCTTGGTCTCGGGCCCACCCACCCCCCACTAAACCCTACAACAAACACACAGAGGCCCCGGCATGGTTGCTTCAACGACGATGGTGTGGTTCGGCAGAACATGGACGAAAGGAAGGGTGGTTAGGTCCCAAAACTCGGACTCGGCCGGGCACTTGGTTAAGTGAGACTCGGGCTTTCAAACTCAAAACTGGTTAAGTGGGACTCGGGCTTTGGGGATTTTGCACATGGCTACTGGTCCTGAGACTCAAACCTCGGGCCTAAACAAGGCAGACACAAATACCATTATATCTATATCATATTAATATAAATTGTATTATTATTAGTCTAATAATATATAGTATACACAACTGGAGCAAAAAAGCTTAGAACCTGCCAAGAGTGGGCAAGTATATATATATATATGCTCACCCCCCCCCCCCCCCCAATGGACCCTCCGCGGGTGGCAGCCGAGTCCTAGCCAGATCAAGGGAAAAACAACGAAACAAGAAACTAACAAAAACCAAAAAAAAATCACATCTTTTCCAAAACTATGGGGCTGGGGCCTCCAAAAGATGTTTTTTTTTGGTTTTCTCGAAAAAAATGGTTTTTTTGGTTCGAAACCATCTTTTTCTCGAGAAAAAGATGGTTTTTGGAGGTCTTCTCCTGGTAAAACCTTCTCTTTTCTCGAGAAAAGATGGTTTTTTTTCGAAGGATGGTTGCTCAAAACCATCTTTTTCTCGAGAAAAAGATGGTTCCCAACCAAAAAAACCATCTTTTTCTCGAGAAAACCAAAAAAACCATCTTTTCCAAAACTATGGGGCTGGGGCCTCCAAAAGATGGTTTTTGTTTGGTGTTTTTTGGTTTTTTTTTGGTTCGGAACCATCTTTTTCTCGAGAAAAAGATGGTTTTGAGCAACCATCCTTCGAAAAAACCATCTTTTCTCGAGAAAGAGAAGGTTTCACCAGGAGAAGACCTCCAAAAACCATCTTTTTCTCGAGAAAAAGATGGTTTCGAACCAAAAAAAACCATCTTTTTCTCGAGAAAACCAAAAAAAACCATCTTTTGGAGGCCCCAGCCCCATAGTTTTGGAAAAGATGGCGTTTTTTGGGTGGTTTTTGTTTTTTTTTGTTTTTTGGGTTTTTTTGTGATAATTCGGCATAACCCTAGGGATTTAAGTTTTATGGGTTTAAGCCTCAAGCACTATAGGGTTATAAGGTTCTAACCCTTTAGGTATTGCCTAAACCTTTAATCCTAAACCTTTAACTTTAAACCCTGCAGGGTTAACCCCGTGAGAAATTTAGAGATAGACCCCGAAAAGACCCTAAACCTTCTCACAGGGTGTAATGGTTTAAAAACCGATGTATGCCTGCAGGCGCTAGATCCCTATAGGGTGCTAAGGTTCTGACCCTGAAGGGTTTAGGGTTAAGGCTTAAATGCCCTCTAGGTTTAAATGCCTAAGTCTTAAACCCTAATCCTTCTAACCTTCATCCTATGGGGTTTGAAGGTCAAGGGTTTAGGCTTGATTGCCGAGGGCTTTAGGGTCCTGACCCTAGAGGGTTTAGGGTTAAGGAATAGATGCCTAAACCTTAAACCCTTAAGGTTTAAACTCTATGGGCTTAGGTTTAAATGTCTAAATCTTAAAAAACCTTTAAACCTTCACACTACAAAGTTTAAGGGTGTTAAGGGTGACAAAGTAATTACATACTTAGGTTTAAACGCCTAAATCTTAAACCCCAAACCTTTAAACCTTAACCCTATAGGGTTTATAAGGGTTTATTGTTAATTGCCGTCTTAGGTTTAAATGTCTGAATCTTAAACCCTAAAACTTTAAACCTTTCACCCTATACAGGGTTTAAAGGTTAAGGGTTTCGGCTTAATTGCAAGCTTAGATTTAAATGTCTAAGTAAAGAATCCTAAACCTTTAACTCTTATCCCTATAGGGTTTAAGGTTAAGGGTTCAATATGAACTGCCGGCATAGGTCTAAATACCTAAACCTTAAACTTAAACCCTAAACCATTAAATATCTTAGCCCTATATGGTTTTAAGGTTACAGGCTTAGCGTTAATTGCCGGAATCGGTTTAAATGCCTAAATCTTAAGCCCGAAACCTTTAAACCTTAGCCCAACAGGGTTTAAAGGTTAAGGGTTTAAAATTAATTGAAGTCTGAGATTTACACGCTTAAATCTTAAATCCTAAACCTTTAAAATCTTAACCCTACAGGGTTTAAAGGTTAAGGGCTTGGCTACAGGTTTAAATGGCTTAAATCTTAAACCCTCAGCCTTCAAACCTTAACCCTACAGGGTTTAAAGGTTAAGGGTTTAAGGTTAGTTGCAGGCTTAGGTTTAAATGCCTACATCTTAAACCCTAAACTTGTAAAAATCTTACCCTATAGATTCAAAGGTTAAGGGCTTAGGGTTTAATTGCCGGCATAGGTTCAAATGCCTAAATCTTAAGGTTTTGTTGCAGGCTTAGGTTTAAATGCCTAAATCTTACATTATAAACAAAAGCCAACAGAAAGAAAAACCCTCCGTGTGTGTGTGTGAGAGAGAGTGAATTAAGGAATACAGTCAAAAATCCGGTCACCGGAAAATCACCAGACGGCAAAGGTTTTATCGGTATTTGCGGAACTTTTGCAAAGATCAAGGCCCGCGGTGGGTCCATTGGGGGGGGGGGGGGGGGTGACCATATATATATATATATATGTGCATATGTATATGTATATGTATATGTATATGTGTATGTACATGTGTATGTACATGTACATGTACATGTACATGTACATGTACATGTGTATGTATATGTGTAGATATGTATGTATGGTGATTTCTCGAAAAATGGTTTCTTCGGGGATCCTCGTTGTTTGGCGGCCCCTCTTCTTTAGGGTACCCAAAAAGGGACCATCATGTAGAGAACTGACAATACATATACATATATATATATATATACTTATATATGCTACCCCCCCCCCCCCCCCGAATGCCACGCCTACTGTGAACCCTAAACCCATCCCTGGCACTCCGATTTACCACTTCGCAACCCCAAACCTCGCCACGGAGGAAAAAAAACAGCACAGTGTCTGAATGAAACCTGATGGCTTCCTCCCTCAGCCTTAATTTAAGTTAAACACTCTTATTCCCGAAATCTCCAAGTTGCATGTAGCCAAGGCCAAGGCACCTGAGTATCGACAAAAATGCGCACAGAAAAAATATGGTAGTGTATTGTGAGTAGTCCAGCCCTCGCAGCCGCTCTCAAAGCATCGACGCGCTATTTACACTGTGATGCTCATAGAATTAATCAAACCTGCTCATAAACAATTGTCGCGCATCTGTCCGAACGCGCTGGGCCAGCGTCTCCTTGAAGACTGTGTGCCAGGAGCAGTGCGCTCGTGTACACTATATTTCAACAGAAAGATCACTACACGAGCTGAACTTCTTGCATCGCACAAGCCAAGCTACGAAATCTCGGACTATCTCTGTACACACCGGGTTCGCATAGATCATGGCCAGCGTGTTATCGTGGTAGCCTGCATGACCTTGCAAGGACCTGTCTAGTGCCGGATTGTCTAGCCTCAGAGCATTGACCGTGTAATCGAAGTTCTGGCCGCACACCTTCTTCCTAAAGGACTTGCCATATGCGAAAAAGATACCGTCTTACTCGTCAAGAGAAGCCATGGAGGTGGTTCTGCCGGCTCTGCCGGTGTCAAAACTGCGACTATGCTGGGATAACAGGCTCCTCCTCTAGCTCTGTTGCTCTTCCTCTCGTCCTAGGCGTTCTCGAAGCAGCTCTGTTCTCTAGCTCTACTGTTTCCTGTTGAGCGACCGATTGTCTAGAAGAAGAAGCTACCACCACATCCTCAAACTGATGAAGTAGCCGACGAGGAGGTCTAGTACAGCTAAGTGAGCATGTGGTGCGCCGGGGTCGGAGCGCGGCCGTGGATCTGATGGACGATGAAAGAACCGGACGTCCCGAATAAATCCAACGCAGCAGCCCCTGTTTCACACCGCCGTGCCCCGCCCAGCAGTCAACGTTATCCACACAGGCACTAGAGCCGTTTCACAGCTGATGGCCACACAGCCGCCTCACAGCTTTCATGGCCGCGCGACGTTTGCCGACGGCGTTACCCGATCATTTCGTCAGGATCTTGGACATGTGCCAGGTCAAAAGCTTTCCAGTACCCTGCCACATGTCCTGGCCCCGGTGCCAGTACTCGTACTGGGCCGACCGCACCTCGGACATCAATTTCCACCGATCCGACCTTGCTGCGCTGATTCAGCTGCAAGCGGCTTTTGATGAACTTACAAGCACGATCTAGGACTTGGGTTCCTACCTTGCTAGTGACGCGCTTCTGGCTGGGCGGGACGACCGTCTTGATCTTCACGTACGTCGGCCGTTTCCACACCGATCGTCCGCCCACCTTGACTCGCTTCTTCTTGCGCGCTACCGAGTTGCGCAGGACACCCCTGGTCTTGATGCGGCAAGCGCGTGCACTGTCTGAGCGCAACAACACCTGCTCGTCCTTGAGCCACTTGTCTGCGATTTTTCTTCCAGTCGTGTTTCTTGATGGGGCCCGGTCAGCTTTAATGTAGCGAGGGCTTTGGATTTCGATAGGAGCCTCGGGAGGCTGCACTGTGGGGTCGTATGGGGTTTAGGCTTTCCTAAATTCTCAGAAATGAGCAGTGCGCTAGCAGTGTGCTTCTCATAGTTTAAAATAGGATGTCTGGGATTTTGAATCTTTACTATCACAGCTCCATTTCCCAGACTGTCCTGAGGACTTGAAGCTCAGGAAGTGCCTGGTCGGCCCCTCCTCTCCAAGCCTACTCGTCAGTACGCTATTTCTCACGCTGTCCATGATCGCTCAGACACGAGCTGTGTGACACTATTTAATCATGACAACTCGTAAATGTGCGCAGGTCGAGTTGGGACGTTGGCCTGGCTTTTCAAATTTCAAAAGCAAAGGACCCCGGGCTGTCTGGGTTGGTCATTGGCAGTTCCCAATGTCTGTCCGGGTCGGTCAGACCTTGGAAATGAAAATTGTAAAAACAGCTGCTTGGCTATGGGCTTGGATTTCATTCCCAATGTCCGTCCTGATCGGTCAGACACTGAAAATGAAATGAAAACAGCTTAGGATTTCATTCCCAATGTCTGTCATGATCGGTCACACGCTGGAAATGAAATTAAAACAGCTTAGCTACGGGCTTGGGTTTCATTTCCAACGTCTGTCCCGATCGGTCAGACGCTGGAAATGAAACTAAAAACCAGCTTGGCTATGAATTTCATTCTCAATGTCTGTCCTGATCGGTCAGACACTGGGAATGAAATCGTCTTAGGGTTTAGGGTTTAGGGTTTAGGGTTTAGGGTTTAGGGTTTAGGGTTTAGGGTTTAGGGTTTTAGGGTTTAGGGTTTAGGGTTTAGGGTTTAGGGTTTAGGGTTTAGGGTTTAGGGTTTAGGGTTTAGGGTTTAGGGCTTAGGGCTTAGGGTTTAGGGTTTAGGGTTTAGGGTTTAGGGCTTAGCCCACGCTGTCCTCATCGGTCAGACATGGGGGGGCTTAGGGGGTTTAACCCGAAACACCCTACTACTAAACCCTAAGCTAAACCCTACTAAACCCTAGTAAACCCTAAACCCTAAACCTAAATGACTGGGGACCAATTTCATTCTCAAACGTCTGTCCTGACCGGTCAGACACTGGGAATGAAATCGTCTAAGGGTTTAGGGTTTGGGGTTTAGGGTTTAGGGTTTAGTGTTTAGGGTTTAGCCCACGCTGTCCTCATCGGTCAGACATGGGGGGGGGGCTTAGGGGGTTTAACCCGAAACGCCCTACTACTAAACCCTACGCTAAACCCTACAAAACCCTAGTAAACCCTAAACCCTAAACCTAAATGACTGGGGACCCGGCGCTGCGACGTCGAAGATGTCAAGCGGCACATGACAGGGCTCGGGCGTTGGTTTGTGACACTGGGAATTTTGGGTAGGTGGAGGTTTTGGTTCTAGTTTTAGGGCTTAGGGTTTGGGGCGGGTTTAGGGTGGTTTAGGGTAAGCGACAGACACTGAATCCTTGAGCCACAACCTACAGGAACCTGAACCCCAATCAAAAAAAGACACTGACCTGGCTACCCTGGAAAAAGCTTACAGTGTGGACTCTTACTCTTGACGTCTAAGTAAAACTACAAGACACAGAACACACGCGACACATTCAGCACACACGCGCACACACACATGCCACACACACACACACAATACTAAGCACCGAAATCTAAAAACACTACACTCCGCAGGTTGCATTTTTCGGAAGGCACAAACGGCTTGCTGGTTCCCGCACGCAAGCGTAGGCCTTGGCCTAACGTGAAAGAGATGGAGTAGCAGTAGCAGTAGCAGTAGCAGTAATAGCAGAGCAGTAGCAGTAGCAGTAGTACTAGTAGCTAGTATAGCTAGTGGCAAAGGAGGCTGGGTAGCTCGCAAATGCGCGGAAAGAGCTAGAGTGATTTTCCCAGGCTCGGACAAATCAGTTTGGCCAGTTCCTTCTAGCTCTGGCTCAATTCCGAGAATACTTCAGCCCAGCTCTGCTTCAAGCCAGAGGCAAAGCCCGGGAAGAATAGCTTCTTTGGCCCAAGAAAAGCTCAAGAATGATGTTTGCCAGCCCCCCGAAATTTTGGCAACTCCCTTGCTTGATTTTTCTGGGAGGCACCGGCTGAATTCGGGAGGCTCTGCTTAAAGCCAGAGGCAGAGGCCGCGAACAGTAGCCTCTTTGCCCCCAGAAAAGCTCAAAAACGACGCCAGCCCCGGCCAACTCATTTTGGCAACTCCCTAGGGAGGCTCCGGCTGAGTTCGGGAGGCTCTGCTTATAGCCAGAGGCAGAGGCTGGCAGGAAGAGCAGCCTCTTTGCGTCAGTCCAAGTTATCTTTGCCAGCCCCAGAAAAATCATTTTGGCAATTCCCCTGCCTGGTTTCTCTGGGCGGCTCCGCCTGAACTCGGGAGTTCGGGAGGCTAGCCGGAGGCAGAGGCTGGCAGGAAGGGTAGCCTCTTTACGCATTATAGTCCAAGAGAGAAAACCGCGCTTGATTTTTAGAGAATTCTGCGATGGTTTTTTTTTCTGGAGCCCGGCCCGACTTCCGCGATGGATTTTTAAAAATCGTCGCTTGATTTTTCAAAACTGCCTAAAAACCCGCGATTGATTTTCAAAAATCAGCGCCTGAGATGGATTTTTCAACATGGCCCCCGGCCCTGCGACCAGTTGTCTTGAGGATGCCCCCCAGGACTTGCGATTAGACTTTTGACTAGGGTGGGGGGGGGGGGGGGCAGGGCGTGCCAATAAAAAACAATGTAAACAAAATAAATATGCATATATATATATATATATACACCTATGCTTTATTGTGTTCTTGTATGTTGCACATATATATATAATATATAAATTGAAGATTTCTGGGAGACTCATATCCAGGAATCTTGAATTCTCAGTGTTTACTTCCCAGAAATCTTAAGAAGTCTTAAGTCTTAAGAATTCTTCAGACTTAAGACTGAAAATTATAGGTTGTCAGAACAGGCACCCCCCTCCAATTTGAACCCCTTTTTTTGGCCTCAAATGGGTACCCCCCTGGGAAACCGGGGTCCGCAAGCGGACGGTTCGCCAGGACCAGAGGCAGTTGAAGCCCCTCCCAGCAGGGCCCCACCCCCCCCCCCCCCCCCCCCCCCCCCCCCCCCCCCCCCCCCCCCCCCCCCCCCCCCCCCCCCCCCCCCCCCCCCCCCCCCCCCCCACCCTTCTCCTTAAACCTTAAAGGGCCTGGCTCAGCCCTACGATCACTCCAAGCCGAACCCTAAACCCAAAAAAACCCTCAACCCCAAAGCGTGAACCTTGAGCCCTAAACTAACCCTCAACCCCAAACCCCAAACCATAAACCATAAACCCGGAACCCTCAACCCTCAACCCTCAACCCAACCCTTATTGCTTGGGGTCCAGCGACTTGGGCGCTGCGGAATCACCATGCTCACGCGGATGCGCTGGGCCGGGCCGAGGCGGGTCGCGTAGCGTTAAAATTAAAAATTCTTAAGACTTAAGGCTGAAAATTGAAGATTGAAGATTCCTGCGAGGCTCTTGTCCAGAATCTTCGATTTCCATCTGAAGGTTCCTGGGCAAGAGTATCCCAGAAATCTTCAGTCTTCAATCTTCCATTTTCAGTCTTAAGTCTTAAGAATTCGTAAGACTTCTTAAGGCTTCTTAAGGATTCCGCGAAAGGAAAAGTAAGAATTGAAGATTCCTGGGCAGAGTATCCCAGAAATCTTCAAGTTTCAGTCTTAAGTCTTAAGACCTTTCTTGTCGATTTGTCCATGTGGCAAGCAAACTGAGTCCACTCCACGCCTACTTCTGAGGGTGGGGCAAAACCATGAATCAGAATTCTTAAGACTTCTTAAGAAGTCTTGAAAAGTAACAAAGACGTAAAATAAGGCATAAAACTATGGATCGTTGGGAGGGGGGGCGGGTACCATATACATATATATATATATATGCTACCCCCCCCCCATGCGCCCACGCTTCAGCATGGTTTCCAGACAAAAACACTACGTTCCGCCACCCGCGGTGGCTTTTAAAGCGGGGAGGAACTCCCATAAAACTCCAGCAGAAGTGACCTGAACAATTTGCTCGAGATTGTGGATTGCATGCTATGAGTTTAAATAGAAATCCTATGCATGTGAATAGCGTTCCTATCAAATTAAATTGGGTTCATAGGATTCATCTTGTTTCAATAGGAATCTTATAAAAATGAAAAGGAAACCCATTAATATGAATGAGAACCCCTAATTCGATTAAATTCTATGGGAACCCTATTCAAATGACAGCATCCTGTGTAAAATTGAAAGGAATTATATTACATTTGTAGGAGCCTTATTAAAATCATTCGGCAAACTATTGAAATGTATTGGGATCTTATACGCAGAAAAACAGGAATCCTCTATTTCAATCCATAGGAACCCTAGAAAAGTAGAACCGAATTATACTTGATAGCAATCCTAATAAACTGAAGAGGGCCCCTACTAAAATTAATAGGAACCAATGGGACTCCTATAAAAAACAAGTGTGAACCCCTAAATAGTAGGAATCCTACTAAAATTAATATGAGCCTAACCCAATCGGTATCCCTTTCAAACGAATGAGATCCCTATTAAAATAAATACGAATCCCATTAACATGAATAAGCATCTGATTAAACTTGATAGGAATTTGATTACATTAGTAGGAGCCTCATTAAAAGAATTAGGAACCCTATGAAACTTTATTGGAATCCTATAAAAATAAATAGGAATCCTCTATTGACTTCATAGGAATCCTGCCAATATTTTTTCGGAACCGGTGAAAGTTAATAGGAAGCCTATGAAAATGAATAGGAACCCTTACCAAATTGAAAAGAACCGGTTATAATTCATAGGAATCCTTTTAAAATGAGAAGGAACCTTGCTAAATGAATAGGAACCAATCGGACTCCTGTAGAAAAATAATATGAATCGGCTTAAAAGATTGGTTTTTTTGGGACAGTACAGCGTTTTTGCAGTCCGAGGCCTCGAAAGTGCTGTACTGTCCCAAAAAAACCAATCTTTTTAAGGCAAAAAGTGCAAAAATGCTGTACTGTCCCAAAAAAACCAAAAAAACCAAAGTTTGGAGACCTTGGGCTCCTCCAGGGCCTGGAGGTCTGCAAACTTTGGTTTTTTTTGTTTTTTTTGGGACAGTACGGCATTTTTGCTTGTTTTTGCTTAAAAAGATTGGTTTTTTTGGGACAGTACAGCGTTTTTGCGTCCCAGGCCTCGAAAGTGCTGTACTGTCCCAAAAAAACCAATCTTTTTAAGGCAAAAAGTGCAAAA